CCATACAACTCTTGTAAGTGAAGGAGTATTTCATGAGCATTATTCAACAATTCGTTCTGTCTCTGCAACTCATTAGACATTGATGCTAACATGTAGCACCGAGCTTGGAGATTGCCATCCATATGACGTAAGTACTCTCCATACTCATCCGAAGTCTGATCTTCGGGTGGAGGAGGAGGGGATCTGTTCAATACATATTCCATCTTCTCCAATTGAAGAACAATTTTTAGGTTCCTTAGCCAATCGTTAAAGTTGGTTCCAGTTAACTTGTTTTGGTCTAGTATACTTGCGATTGGATTTTTAGCCATTTTCGTAGATTAATCTACAAAACAACACACGAAGCAGAAAATAGTTAGACTATGGAATTTATATTCATTTAATATTAGGTCTTTAAATATTAAATGTCTCCCACTATTTTAATTAAAACCACATTTTAATTATGAAAATCTAATTTTCATAGTGGGCTTGAAGTCCAATAAAAATATTCCATATCCCAATTTTATGAGTACGCATGGAACATTTATACCGGTAGTCAACTTTTGACAATTGTATCACTATACAACCTTCAAGATATTTTGCCTCACCTTTCCTTATATACCTCAATTTTATGACCGTATATATTACTCAGTGTCAAATCAAACCCATCAAACATTCATGATAACGGCCCACCAGAGTGTCCCACGACTCATGGTCAACACAAAGAGGAATCCGTTTCATGAGTATCACTATACTTAGTAGGGATCACAGCTTTCGACACAAAACCACCCCACGACTCATGGTCAGTGATAAAGCATCGTAGCATCTCATGTCGTCTACTTTTGACGGAAGGCCTAGATTAATAAGTTCCAACTTATTTATATCCATTATTGATTTGATATAGAATTAATCTCATTAATTCTTTTGGTTCCTTAGATCTCATCAATTACCATCTTTACGTTTATTTACCATTTCATCCATCGCATGAATCGAAAGCATAAATAAACCTAACATACATCTAATGCATGCATACGGTGGGATGATCATGACCTTGCCTATACGACCCATTCGAGCCAAAATGGGTCTATGCCTATGCACGTGATAAAACGAATAAATAGAACTAATTCTATTACATCTTCATTTTATCTACTCGTACAAGCACAGGCCTTCAATCTTTATGACTCGAAAAATTACCCACATCATCGTAGGCCTTTTGCATCGAACGGTTCTCCAACCTGATTTAATCTTCTAACGATACAAAAAAATTTAAAACTTTACAAGTCATAACTATAGAGATTCGCAGATCTCGATAAATTACAATCATTCAATCATATTGAATAAAAGTACAACATTCAATCAAATTGAACAAGAGACTCGCAGGTCTCGTTTACATCCATTCAATCATATTGAATAAATTACAACCATTCAATCACATTGAATAAATTACAACCATATAGACATTCAATGAAATTGAATTAAAAGGCTCATGATCATCCCTAAATAAATCCATTCATCACATGAATTAAAAACATAATAAAAAAAAAATTATCATGTCGCACGACCCGTGTGGCTCAAGACACGGGTCGTGTGGGTCCACACGACTCGTGTGATCTGATCACACGACCCGTGTGAAAATCCTGTAAGGAAAAATCAAATTTTTCCTTAACTCACACGACCCGTGTGGCTCAAGACACGGCTTGTGTGAGCTCACACGACCCGTGACCATGTCACACGACCCGTGTGAAATTCCCGAAAGAAAACCAAGATTTTCCTTCAGGGTCACACGACCCGTGTGATCGCGTCACACAACCCATGTGAAACCACACGACTCGTGTGACGTGAGAAAATCCCGAAACAAAATATAAAAATTTTGACATGTCACACGACTCGTGTGGCACTCACACGACCCGTGTGACTCCTCACACGACCCGTGTGGGAAAAAATCGAATTTTTTATTATTTAATAATTAATATGTTTATCATATAAACATTTAATTATTATGTTTATCATATAAACATAAACAAATCAAAATCTATTTTTAAAGATGATAACCGTGGCTCTGATACCACTGTTGGGTTCGCTTGTACCGTACGGGCTATACGTAGCGGAATTTAAAATTTTTCAAAACATGTATTTAACACTTAAATACACAACCCGTATATACATATGGCGAATTAACAGATCGTCATCTTTAAAAACATGTAATAATACAAATTTTGATTTGTTGAAAGTAAATTCAAAATTTACCTTTTGTTCTTGAACTCCTTCAATAACCGACGTTGATTGAGGGAATCGGTTCCCGGTTTTGTAACATCAACTCCTTGAGATTACTCGCTTGAGGAATCCAATCGTCGTCCCTTTAATAGTATCCACCTTTCGAACTTAGGTTCCGATATAGTCTTTTCGCTAGTAAAAACTACTCGGTTTAATTTAATAGAATGAAATATATATTTGTGAGGAAATTTTACTCAAGAACTCTTTCTTGATTTCTCACTCAACTCTTTGAATGTATTTCTCTCTTGGAAGAACCTTTTAAGATTTACCAAAAACTTAGACAAAATGTGCAAACCATTTGCACCTATTTATACTAAACATTTTAGCATAAAATAATCAATATTTGGTAATATTTTATTTCAAAATAAAATTAGATTTTATTAAAAAATCCAAACCAATATTGACTTTTAATAAATAAAGTGAAGTGGTTCATAACCATCATCCACTCCCATTATTTTGTCTCCTCATTATTTTAATTTTTAATAAAATTAAAGATAAAATAATAAAATAATAATTTCTTGAAAATATTTTTCAAGACTTTATTATTATAATCATTTCTTCCAATTTCCTCATTTAATAATCATATTATTATTTGGATTTGAAATTTAAAATCCAATTTTAAATTCCAACAATAAATTAGTAATTCCATTAATTACTAAATTAATATCCAAAATTCAATTAATCAATCCAATTGATTAATTTAATATATTCCATAAATTGACATCTAATGAAATTATATTTTGTCAATTAATTCTAACTCTTTAGTATTACTATTTGAATTTTACCTTCATTCAAATTTAGGTGTGACCTTTTAGGTTCACAATTAATACTAGTAGTGGGTTTACAACTCTTTGTAATTTGAGTTAATCTTTATTAACTCTTATTCATGAATTAACCCATTTAATTCATTAACCCACATATCATGGGAACACCTAGCAAGTAGCATGAATCTAGTATTAAGTGAATAGCGAGTAAACCTATTTCGATTACAAGTACATACATGTAAAATCCTTTCGACATCCAATTTCCCGATTAAATCTTGGGTATGATTTTAGTCGAAACCCAAATTGATTTAATAACTATGATTCTATTTCAAGTTTAGTAATTCGTTTATGAATCTCTATTCATCCTGCCTTGGCCAAGGACTTTTAATTACTAACTTTGAAACACATAGAAAATTACTTATTTTCATAAGTGTTGAATCCTTTGTTGGCCACTGACAAACTTCCATACATATTAATGTAATACCCAAAATATCCCTTTATACGATTGTGCTAGCAACCAAAAGGATAAATCAAAATAAAACACAATATGCACAAAGTTACCATCGTGCCTCAAGTCTTAGGATTAGTCATGTACTATTGTAACATAAAAATACTTATTCGACAAGACTAATCTTTCATTAAGTATTTTCATACGGTCATGTTCAGTGAACTTGTTCTCTAACAAGCACTCACATATATGTACTTGCGTCCCATGCTAATGTTGATGGAATGCAACATTCTTGTCCAACAAGCATACATACTATGTGCAAGTCTTTTATGGATTATTCGATATCCCATCTCGAAACATCCTTCGACTTGGAACTGTTTTAAGATCACAGTTTTCAAGGTATGTTCCATGATCACCATCTCTATGCGCAACCATACCTTATAACCATATGTGATCTAGGGATTTTATCTTAAGTGCAATTATAGGATAAAAGCTTACTCTTAAAATAAAGTAATGCCTTATTTACAATATAATTCCAATAAATTGTATTTACAAGTAGAATACGTCCAATCCGATTGGAACGCCGGGTATTCTACTCTAACAGGATCAACAAAGCTCCATACCATGTTTGAATACATGGAGTCTATTTCGGATTGCATAGCTTCTTGCCATTTATCTGAGTCAATGTCCGACATTGCCTCATCAAAGCTTATTGGATCATTATCCAAAAGGAATCCCTCGTCATTGTTCTCCAACAATAGGTATAGCCTCTCAGGCGCCCTAGAAACCCTTTCGTATCTCTGAAGAGGTTGTGTTTCAGATGGTCCAGTCTCTATTGGTATGTTATTTATGGTACTTTGTGGAATTTCTTGTGGTTCTTCATTAAGTTCTATAACTCCACTATTCTTTGAGATAAACTCTTCCTCCAAGAATACAGCATTCCTCGAAACAAACACCTTTTGTTCAGAGGGGCCATAGAAATAGTATCCAATAGACTCTTTTGGATACCCCACAAATTTACATAAGATGGATCTCATATCCAACTTACCTCCCACTAACTGCTTCACATAAGGAGTACAACCCCATACTTTCATATATTTGTACGAGGGTGTTTTGCCACACCATATGTCATAAGCTGTGTTGGGTACAGCTTTACTTGGCACTCTATTCAAAATATGTGCTGCTGTTTCTAAGGCATAGCCCCAGAATGAAAGAGGTAAACTAGTGGAACTCATCATTGATCGAACCATGTCCAATAATGTTCGATTCCTCCTTTCTGAAACCCCATTGAGTTGTGGAGTTCCAGGAGGTGTCCACTGTGAAATAATCATATTATCTCTTAAATAATCAAGAAACTCATTGGTCAAATATTCACCTCCTCGATCTGATCAAAGAACTTTAATACTACGACCAATTTGTTTCTCTACTTCACTTCTGAATTCTTTGAACTTTTCAAATACTTCAGATTTGTACCTTAATAGGTATACATAACCATACCGTGAATAATCATGAACTTTTCAAATACTTTAGATTTGTACCTTAATAGGTATACATAACCATACCGTGAATAATCATCAGTAAAAGTTATGAAATAATAGTAGTTCCCCTTGGCACTAACATTTAGTGGTCCACAAACATCTGTATAGATCAAATCCAACAGACCTTTAGCTCACTCCACTTGTCCAACAAAGGCTAATTTAGTCATTTTACCTTTAATACATGATTCACATGTAGGCAACCTTTCCTCTCCCCTAAGGTCGAGTTTTGGTCCCAATTTGTGAATTCTCTTGCCCCAATTGCTTTGGCAGCAACTCTTGCCCCATTGCCCATCCTTAGGATTGTTTCATCATCTTCTAGCTTGTTACTTCTTGCCATCATCTGCAAATCATTGCAAATATGTGAGCCACAGCCGGTATCCAATACCCAAGAAGAATCGTTAACTGATAAGTTAACTTTAACAAAATAAATACCTGAACTTTTCAGGCTTGCAAGATACTCCTTGCAATTCCTCTTCCAATGCCCAGTTTTACCACAATGATAACATTCATGACTAGACTGAGAATTGACCTTCTCTTTGTTCTTTCCTTTGTTGTTCTTTGCCTTCTTATTGGGTTTGTTGGGAACCTTTCTCTTCCCATTCCTTTTAGATTTAGAAGAGGATCCAACAAGAAGCACCGGCTTATCCTTTTTTATTGTTGATTTAGCAGTCTTTAACATACTCACTAACTCATGGAGAGAAGTCTTCATTTTGTGCATGTTAAAGTTAACAACAAAGCTATCAAATAACAGTGGCAGAGATTGCAGCAACAGATCCACATAGAGTTCATTATCCATAATGACTCTAAGGGACAAAAGCCTTTCAATAAAAGCTAACATCTTCAGCCCATGATCATGAACTGAAGAGCCCTCAGTCATACGACACCTGAAAAGCTCCTTAGATATCTAATATCTAATTTGCTGAGTCCTATCACCATACAACTCTTGTAGATGAAGGAGGATTTCAGAAGCATTATCCAATAATTCGTTCTGTCTCTGTAACTCATTTGACATTGATGCTAACATGTAGCACCAAGCCTGAAGATTGTCATCAGTATGACCTAGGTATTCTCTATACTCATTAGAAGTCTGATCCTCGGGTGGAGGAGGAGGGGCTCTGTCCAATACATAGTCCCTCTTTTCAGACTGTAGAACAATTTTAAGATTTCTCAGCCAGTCATTGAAATTGGGTCCAGTTAATTTGTTTTGTTCAAGGATACTTGCAATTGGATTCTTAGCCATTTTAGTAGAGTGATCTACAAAAACAACAAACGAAGCAAAAAATAATTAGACTATAGAATTTATCTTCATTTAGTATTAGGTCTTTAATATTAAATGTCTCCCACTATTTTAATTAAAACCTCTTTTTAATTATGAAAATCTAATTTTCATAGTGAGCTTGAAGTCCAATAAAAGTATTCCATATCCCAATTTTATGAGTACGCATGGAACATTTATATCGGTAGTCAACTTTTGACAATTGTATCACTATACAACCTTCAAGATGTTTTGCCCCACTTTTCCTTATATACCTCAATTTTATGACCGTATATATTACTCAGTTTCAAATCAAACCCATCAAACATTCATGATTACGGCCCATCAAAGTGTCCCACTACTCATGGTCAACACAAAAAGGAATCCGTCTCACGAGTATCTCTATACTTAGTAGTGATCACAACTTTCGACACAGAACCACCCCACGACTCATGGTCGGTGATAAAGCGTCGTAGCATCTCATATCGTCTACTTTTGAAGGAACGCTTGGATTAATAAGTCTCAACTTATTTTTATCCATTATTGATTTGGTATAGAATTAATCTCATTAATTCTTTTAGGTTCCTTAGATCTCATCAATTACCATCTTTACGTGTGTTTATTTACCACATTATTCATCGCATGAATGATAAGCATAAATAAACCTAACATACATCTAATGCATGCAAACGGTGGGATGATCATGACCTTGCCTATACGACCCATTCGAGCCAAAATGGGTTTATGCCTATGTACGTGATAAAATAAATAAATAGAACTACTTTTAATACATTTCATTTTATCTACCCGTACAAGCACAGACTTTCAAAATTTACAACTTGTAAAATTACCCACACAAGCGTGGGCCTTTCGCATCGAACGCTCTCCACCTAGATCTAATCTTTTAACGATACAAAAATTTCAAATTTTACAAATCATAAATCAAGAGACTCGCAGGTCTCGATAAATTACATTCATTCAATCATATTGAATAAAGATGCAACATTCAATCACATTGAACAAAAACAGACATTCAATCACATTGAATTAAAAGACTCATGATCATCCCTAAATTAAACCATTCATCACATGAATTAAAAAAATAATAAAAAAATTTTATTATGTCACACGACTCGTGTGGACAAGCCGAAAGAAAAAATCAAATTTTTTCTTGTTTCACACGACTCGTGTGGCTCAAGACACGGGTCGTGTGAGTCCACACGACTCGTGTGAAATTCACGAAACAAAAATAAAAAAATTTTTGTCAAGCCACACGACTCGTGTGACCATGTCACACGACTCGTGTTGAAAAATCAAATTTTTATTTTAATATTTAATATGTTTATCATATAAACATTTAATTATTTTGTTTATCTCATAAACATTAACAAATCAAAATCTGTTTTTAAAGATGAAAATCGTGGCTCTGATACCACTGTTGGGTTCGCATGTACCGTACGGATTATACGCAGCGGAAAATTATGTTTCAAAAACAAGTATTTATCGTATAAAACATGTAATGAATGGTTTAAAAACATGTAATTATACATATAGCGAATGCACAGATCGTCATCGTTTAAAAACATGTAATAATACAAATTTTGATTTGTTATAAGTAAATTAAAATTTACCTTAGTTCTTGAACTCCTTCAAAATTGACGGTGGATGAGGAAATCAATTCCCGGTTTGGTAACGATCACTTCTTGTTGTTACTCGCTTTAGGAATCCAAATGTCTTCCCTGTAATCGTATCCACCTTTTGAATTTCAGTTCCGACAATAGTTTATTCTCTAGTAAAAACTACTCGATTTTTCAATAAGTATGGAATATATATATATATATATATATATATATTTGAGGAAATTTCTCAAGAACTCTTTCTGTTTTATCACTCAACACTTGAATGAATTTTCTTAGCTCAACTCTTAAGCTCAATATCTCTTGGAAGAACTTAGCAAAATTGAACATCAAATATGTCCCTATTTATACTAAACATTTTAGTATAAAATAATAATATTGGGTAGAATATTTTCATAAAATATGTCCCTATTTACCATCGTGCCTCAAGTCTAAAGATTAGTCATGTACTATTGTAAATGAAAATTCTTATTCGACATAAAAATTCTCATTAAGAATTTTCATACAGTCATATTCAGTGAACTTGTTCTCTAACAAGCACCCACATATATGTATTTGCATCCCACGCTAATGTTGATGGAATGCAACATTCTTGTCCAACAAGCATACATCATATGTGCAAGTCTTTTTGAGATTTATTCGATATCTCATCTCGAAACATCCAACGAATTGGAAATATATTTAAGATCACAGCTTTCAAGGTATGTTCCATGATCACCATCTCTATGCGCAATCATACCTTATAGCTATAAGTGATCTAGGGACTTTATCTTAAGTGCAAATTAGGGCTGCACATTCGGTCAAAACCGAACCGAACCGACCGAATTTTTGGTTAACCGAAAATTCAGTTTGACCATAATTAAAACCGAAAACCGAACCGAAAACTACGATTCAATTCGGTTAAAACCGAAAAATTTCAGTTTTATCCTTTCGGTTTTCGGTTATCCGATACATTAAACAAAAAAGCCACAAAAATTAGATTTCATTTACCACTTTCGAAAAGGGAAACAAGCGCGCAAAAAAGAAAACCACGAACCTGAGTTGCAGCCTTTACGAGGGGATTTGGATGGCGAACTCATTTGAGAAGACGAGCGTCGCGACGGCCTGCCGCTTGGAGAGTATGCGGGAGCAGAACGACGGAATAGCGAGGTGATTTGGGATTTCAAAATTCCAGCAACTTGGGATTTCAGACTTCAGCGAACCGACGCCGAGCGACCGAAGATTGAGCGGGTGATTTGTGTGTCGTGCGGAGGACAGGCGGAGAAGATGTAGTGGTAGGTACGGTTCTTTTCGTGGAGGTTGAGACGGACTGAGAGTGAGTTTGAGGAGTTGGACGATTTTGTTTCATTGCTGAATGGAGATAAATTGGGTCTGCTTCATTGTATCTTTGGGCCTGTAATGTTAATACTTAATACCAATTAATGTAATACCTACTTATATGGAGTTATAATGGGCCTTTTATACCTTATATAATATCGGTTTTCGGTTCGGTTCAGTTAACCGACGGATTGTAACCAAACTGAATCGAAAACTGAAATATTAATAAACTAAAATAACCGAACCAATTTTTCGATTTCGGATTCGGTCGAAACTGAATTTTCGGTTTCGGTCGGTTATCTCGATTCTGTGCTGCCCTAGTGCAAATATAGGATAAATGCTTAGTCTTAAAGTAAAGTAATGCCTTTTTAATTAATATAATTCCAATAGATTGTACTTACAAGTGGAATACGTCCAATCTGATTGGAACGCCGGGTATCGTACTCTAACACTCGCGAGCCCACACACCCGCAACCAGACCTAGCCCACGCCAGCCCGCGCCCGAGCTCCCAGCCCAGCCCGTCCCTGCCGACCCCTACGAGCAGCCCGTGCCTATGCCCGCATGCACCGCTCCCGAGCGACCATGAGCCATATCGAGCCACCGGACAAACCACCTAGCCCCGGCACACCCGGCGACCGCCGGTGATATTTTCCAGCCGCCGGTGAAATTTTTCGGCGACCGGCGACTTTTTAGGCCGAATTTTCCGGCGAACCTCCTGGGCCCCGATTTTTGGCCGTCGTCGACATTTTTCGGCCGAAAACGACATTTTTTACCTCTCGAGACCATTTCGAGCTGTTGGAGCCATCGAAAACCTTATATTGCGGCGATTCTACCTCCTTCACCCGTTTTTCTTGGATTTTTTACTGTCTTGGAGCTTTATCGAGGATCATTGCCCGATTTTTCTTACTCTTGGTGTCGAGATCACCGTTTTACGAGGTATTCCACTTAGACAACCTCGACTCATTTGTATTTAAATTGGGCGTGATTTTATTGAGTTAGGGGTGATGTATGCTAAGTGTGGGGGAGGTGTATCGGGGGCTCGTGAGCATATATTGATCGATTGGAGTATTGTCGTTATTTTCTTTTGGTGTGAGGCTCGTTTGGAGTTATTGTTGATTATTATGAGGCATGTGGTGCATGTTAGAATTTAATTTGAATTTCACTATATCATTGGTGTCGGTTATGCGTGAGGTTATGCTTTGATTGAAAAGTTGGTCGGGTCATGCCATGGCGAGCTTTATTATGGGCTAGAGGCCCGAATTTTGATCTTTCACGCATACGTGTGTCTTCATTGAGTTTGTGGATTCCCGGTTATTATCCCTCCGAGACACATACATATGGACATTACTCAGTGCTTAAAGACGGAATTCTCTTATGCTTTCAAATGCCATATTGCTCGGTTGGCTTATGGATCGGTATGCTTTTATTGTTCACTCGTTCAGATGGATTTATTTTTACACTCGAGGACATTCAGATCATTTCTCGGTATTCCCACCGGACGAACACCATTTGATACGCGGTGGTACACCACCATGTAGAGTATGCTTTTTCTTTTCTTATTTTCTCTTTCTTTCTTTGCCTTTGTGTGTCTTCGTGAGTATCTTTGTT